AACATTATGCGAAGTGAAAGAAGCCTGCCATAAAAGGTCACTGTGGCATTATGATGCAATAAAAGATACATGTTTGGTCTCTGCCCTCAGCTTATGGCACAGAGCTTCAAAAATCCTTGTGATTTCTTGAGCCATAGAGGTGCTGTGGGTATCTTCGTTCTAATATTTGGTCTTTGACCCTGGTCCTAATCCCTTGGAATTTCCTGGGTGATAGTTGATGGGTTCCCAGATGGAGGCTGATCACCAGAAAGACCAACCCAGGACTGGAAGCTTGGAACGTAGGCCAGGTGCAGTGGCTCACGTCTGTAATCCTAGCCCTACAGGAGGCCAAGACTGGCAGGCTGCTTGAGCTCAGGAGTTTGAGACCAGCTTGAGCAAGAGTGAGACCCCATCTCTACTAAAAAAGAAAAACTAGTTAGGCATTATGGCAGGTGCCTGTAGTTCCAGCTACTTGAGAAGCTGAGGGATGAGGAGCACTTGAGCCCAAGACTTTGAGGTTACTGTGAGCTGTGATGCCACTGCACTCAACCCCAGAGCAACAGAGTGAGACTATGTCTCAAACAAGAAAACAAAACAAAACAAAATAAAGAAGCTTTGAACTTTCAGATCCACTCTCCAATCTCTAGGGAGGGGAGCAGGGCTGGAGGTTAAGTTAATCATCAATGGCCAGTGATTTGATCAATCATGCCTACACACGTTGGTCCTCCATGAAAACCAAGAACAAGGTTTGGAGAACTTCTGGGCTGTTGAACACATGAAGGTGCCCAGAGGGTGGTGTGCCTGCCCCTTCCCCTGTACATCACCCTATGCATATCCTCCACATGGCTGTTCATCTGCACGCTTTGTAACGTCCTTTATCATAAAAGGGTAAATATAAGGTGGGTGTTTCCCTGAGCTCTGTGAGCCACTCTAGCAAATTATTTGAACCTGAGGAGGGCGTCACGGGAACCCCCAATTTATAGCCAATTAGAAGTACAGGTCACAATTTGAGGCCTGCAATTGGTATCTGAAGGGGACTAGTCTTATGTGACTTAGCCTTTAACTTGTGGGGTCTGCACTAACCCTGGCTAGTGTTAGAATATAGTTACATTATAGGCTATCCTCTTGGTGCGTGTTGGAAAATAAGTCTTTGGTGGTGAGAACCCCCCATGCATTTTGGTGATCGACATCCTTGAACTGCATCGATTGTTTTCAACCAAACAAGGGTTGAAAATAGTGTGCTCTGGACACAGAAACACAAGTGCAAGGAGGGCTGACTTTTTGTGTATGTGGGTTTCACACAGCAGATTGTAGAACTTGAGTATGCTTGGATTTTGGTATCTGAGGAGGTCCTGGAACCAATCCTTGAATATACTGAGGGAGAACTATACCTTGTGTTGAGTGGTGATTGGTGTGTGAGGACAGGAAAAAGTCCTGTGTCTAATATGAGTATAGCTCTAAATGAGTATAAAAGGGTAGTATCATGCCATTTAACATTTATTAGGCACCTTTTGTATGCCTGGCATTATAGTAGGGCAGTGGGAATATAAAGAAGATTTAAAAAAGACCCTGTCTCCAAGTTGCTCATCTTAACACTAACTAACAAGAAAGACATTTCACTTTCCTTGAAAACCAATAGCATGGATTCTTTCCTGATTATCCATGATCTACTCAGAGACAAGGGAGTTAATGATAACCGCTTTTCTAAGCAGCAATCTTAGAAGTTTATGCCTTTGTCCCTTGAAAATGCACCAGGCCGAGTGGCGCCTGTGGCTCAGTAGTAGGGCACCGACCCCATATACTGAGGGTGGTGGGTTCGAACCCGGCCCTGGCCAAACCGCAACAAAAAATAGCCAGGTGTTGTGGTGGGCACCTATAGTCCCAGCTACTCAGGAGGCTGAGACAAGAGAATCGCTTAAGCCCAAGAGCTGGAGGTTGCTGTGAGCTGTGACGCCACGACAGTCTACAGAGGGCGACGGACACAGACTATGTCTCAAAAAAAAAAAAAAAGAAAGAAAGAAAAAAAAAAAAT